TATAATCTATTATAATAGAAAAATTATTAATATAATATATATAATTGATTTGAAGTTATAATATAGATTTTGACCTTCAATATATTAACACCAATATTAACATTAAATTATAATTAGATAATTATTTAAGGGGTAAGGTTAATAATTTTTTGTTTTCGAAAAGAATAAGCAGAGGGATTTTCTTATAGAAAATAGGAGATTTTCTTTTCTTATTTTAAACTTTAATATTATATAATTTAGTATAAAAACTTTACTTATCTTTTGATAATAATCTAGTCCGGCAGGGCTATTCAATTTATTAATCACTATTTATATTTATATTTAATTAATCCAGGTACCCCAAAAAGTTATTATATTAATTATTTGATTATTCTCAAAAAGCTATTTAGTGGAACCTTTTGATATAAACTCCAGAAAAATTAAATTACCTAATAAACCAGCCAAATACAAATCCCCTCTTATTATCTAGATCTATTAAATAATAAATCTACTTATAAAAAAAGCATAAATATAACACAAAACGATATGAATTCTAGTGATTAAAGTAGGTTATAATATAAAAAAATAAGAATACATAAAGCTTGCTATTTTTTCCAAAAAAGAATATGGGTTTTAAAGAGTATACTGAATTTTTATATATTTTTTCAAAATATAATATAAAAAAATCAAATAATTGTTTTTATTTATAGTTTCCTTAATAAAAGAATTATATAAAAAGAGTAGTAATAATAGCTATACTATCAACAGGCCCAATATAAATTTGAATATTATTTATGCAAAAATTATTCTAATAAAACTTAATATATCAGAATTATTAAGAAATATATAAAATAAGATTATTATATAAATACAAGAATATCTAATATTAATCAAAATCCTAATCTCTGTTTATTTAAATCAAAAAAAGTATACAGATATCAAAAGCATTTAATTAGTAAATTGATTAATTAAATAATCTTTTATAGATACAATTAAAGAGAATAACCTATTGATAATATTCTTATTATTAATAATAATTTGGATTCAAATTGATTATTTAATAGTTATAATTCTAATATTAATAATAAAGAAAACAAGTAAATCAATTATAATAATAATAATATTTGAGATTATATAAAAAATGAGATTAGGAGAATAATAAAGAAGTTTTAAGTAATAAAGGATTTCTTATTAGAAAATACTAAGGATATAAATATATTTAAAAGATACTAATTAAAGATAAATATAAATCTAAAGAATATATTATAGAAATTTAATTATATATAATATAATTTAAATAAAGATTTAAATAAAGTTTTAGATAATATAAGTAATAGTAATAATATGAATAATAATAATAAATCAAATCTAATAGATTAGAATAATTCAAATATTTTGATATTATAAAACAATAACTAATATTATATAAATATCAAAATATTAATTAATTGGATTATATTTAAAATATATATTATATATATTGAATAATAAAAAATAATTGAATTTATAAAGAAATATAGAAATTATATTACTAATATTTCTAATCTCTTATTAAATATATAAAAAAAAAAATTTTTTTTCAGAAGGAAATAGGATTATAGTTCAAATAAATTGATTATTGTATTAAGAGTTATATAGTTTATATTGAATTTAAGAGTATAAATAAATATTATAATTATGGATTTTATAAAGAAGTGAGGTAATATAAAGGAATAAATAGAAAAAGAAAAATATATTTTAGAAAGTAATATTTATTCTTTTCTTTACAAAAAAGATTGAATATATAATTTAAATCTTTTAAGATTGAGTATTTAATAACTTATAAAACTAATTTTAATAAAATCAATAATTAATAAGATTATAAAAAATGAAAGAACATTTTTCATAAGGATTTATATTAGAATTATTATTGAAAAAAGCTTGGTCTATTTCAGAAATAAGTTTTTCTCAGATATTCCTAAGATATTATTATTAATTAAATATATAATTAAGAATATTATTTTAGTATTATTATAAGATAGTATATAAATAATTAATATCAATAATTATTATATATATCTAATTATCTTTCTTAATCTTAATCTTTTTTTAAATAAAAGAATTAAAAAACAAATTTTTTTATTATCTTATTTAATATTAAGATTCAAAAAGATTGATAATTTAGACTTTTTTCTATATTTTATGATAAAAAAGATATTGGTTTTGAATAAAGGGATTAATAATATAGAATATAATAAATTAAAATATTAATTATATAATTTCTTTATAATTAAATCATTTTTATTTTATATATAGATTATTATTATATTTGAAAATAATTTTAAAAAAGCTAAAGTTATAGGGTTAAAGAAATCTGATAATATATATTACTTATATTATTATTATATAATCTATAATATTTGTAAATTTATTAGTAATTTTTATTATATTTTATATATTATTATTCAATTATAAAATAAAAAATTAGAATTAAGAAATAATATTCAATATCAATTAGTAGAATAGAAAAGGATGTAAGTGAAGAAAGTAATAAAAAGAAAATATTAGGGATTTATATGTAGCTCTATATTATTCAAATTAAAATCAGTTTATTTTATAAAAAATATTAATGTTAATATAATATATTATATATTATAAAATATAATATAGAATCTATATCTTCTATAAAGGGGCTGAAGATTTAATTTAAATAATAAAAAATTCTATAAAAAGAAAATTAAATAGTTAAAAAAAAGATAAAAAGAATAATAGATTGAAATATTATTATTAATAACAAAAAAAGGAAATCCTTTACTTTATAAAATAAGAAATAAAAACATATTACAAATTTTAGATTTAGAGAATATTGGATATAATAAAGAGAATTTAAAAAAGAATAAATTAAATAAAAAAGTATTCTTAGTATTATATATTATATTAAAAAAAGAATAATATTAATTAAATAATATTCAAAAAAAGATAAGATATATAATTCTTTTTTAATTTAAATAGAATATAAGATATATAGATAAATATTGGAAAGAATATAAAGCTATAGAATAAAAAGAAGTTTCTAATATAAGATAAAATCATTTTTTTAATAAATCTCCTAGATTTTGAATTTTATTTAAAGAATTTCGTTTTATTAAAAGATATATATATTTTTTATTATAAAAGATTAATAATCATTAAGAAGATATAAAATCTGAAATAAAAAACTAAGGATTTTATATAAATATTTCAGGATTTATATTATCAAAATAAGAAAGATTATATTAAAATATATAAAATTAATTAATACTTTTTACTTTAATTAGATAAACAAAATTAATATCTTTTATTCTATTTTTAAATAAATAAAGCAAATAAAATAATATTAATAGAAATAGAATTATATATTAGGGATTTGGGGTTAAAATGAGTATTTTGGGTGTGATTTATAAAAAGATATATTAGTATTTGTAAGAGTATAATAGTTAATATAATTGATATAAATAAAGTTTTATTAAATTGATTAATATAAATGAAATATATAAATCATTTATTAAATTCCAAAAATTGTTATAAACAAGAAAACAGGTATCTAAATCAAGATCTAAAATTTCCTAAAATCATTGAGGTATTATGTAATATAAATCTAAGCTATGTACAGCTTGATTTGATAAAATAATGTTTTAGAAGAAAGGATTTGGAATAATAGCTAATCAATAGAACTTTTATAAAACTCTTTAAAAAGATAAGAATAAATATTAATATAATTATAGGGATTATAATTGAATAGAAGATATCAATAAAGAATTATAATAATCTATATATTTAATAATATTTAAAGAAGGAAATAAAAAAATGATATAGAAGAATATATATTATTATTCAAAATTGTAATTAAAAAGAGATTATAAAAGTACAAGAATTTCGCTTTATATAAAGATATAGAAAATAAGATTTTTTAATAATTAAAAATATTATTAATAAGAGATTAAATAGATTAAAAATTATAAAATTAAAAGAAATAAGGAATGTTATTAAAAGAATTGAGGTAATAAAAAATTGTAAAAATAATCGAAAAAGTTTTTTAGTATTGATTTTATAAAATAAACTTTTTTTTGATTAAAAGATTAAGAATATATTACTTTTTTATATCATTATTTTAATATTTGTTTTTGATTGAATTTAAGATAGATCGATTTTATTACAAAATTTTCATTCTTTTTATTAAATTCAATAATAAACAAATCACAAAAAGTACCAATTCTATTTATAAATAACAAAATACTTTATTTATAAATAACAAATATATATATCAATATTGTAAAGTATTAATTAAAAATTTATATGGGAATTTATATTGAATTTCTTTTCGTCGCAATTGATTGTTCTGCCACCACAGGGAATCGTGCTACCTATTACCTTTAACAAGCCTACCTCTCATTCCCTAAGTACTACACACACACATACACACACTATCTCCTTCCAACCCCCCAAACGCACCAGGACTCCCCTTGTAATTCTAGGATGTACGATGTGCAACAAAATGAATTTTAGCTCGTGTGATAGGGAGATCCTAGCTAGGCTCGGTAGGGAAGTATTTGTTTAGATAGGGATTCGTGATAGTATCCGGATGAATCTGAAAGGGAGGGGGGGATATTACAGGGTTTGATTTAGCCTTCTTCCGAATACGGGGTGTGTGTTTGGTGGGTTGGGCCTTGTGGGATGTGTTGATGTTGAGAGGGATAGAGATAGAGATAGGGAATATGGTTGTATTATGCGAAAAGGAAAGAAAAGGGGGGTTAGTTCGGGTTGTGCGCTATTAGATTAGTGAGGTGATCCCTAGTGTAATTTTCGTTTTCTGCTTTACAGTAGCTATCAATGACACACACGCATTGTTGGGACTTTCGCATAAAGACTTTGTGTTTATATTATAGGATATGCTTTTAAGCTCCATCATAAAATTCATTATCTTCATATCCAATATCTGGAAATCATAATCAAACATCCACCCCTTACTTTCATTCAACTCCTGTCCTCTTTTTATCGAGAATCTAAAAGGCCCAGCCAAGCGTCAACCTATAGATCCGCTCCCACTTGGTCTCTTCATTACTACCCCGTCTAGCTGCCTCCTGCGCCAAGTATTCTTGTTCCTGCGCATCGATTCTCGCTTTTCCACTGAAGAGATCCGCTTCCTCAGGCCTCAAGACCTTCGTCTTCATTGAGTATTTGTATCCAAAGAACATGATAATGTACAATGGAATAGCCAAATATGTAGTAATGAAAGTTGAGTGATCAAAGACGGGTGTGGTGCCCGCTTTGGCGGTCTTTTTGTAGCAGAATAGTGCGAATCCCTTGAAGAAGGCAATAAGGATACAGAAGACAAGAGCACCGTAGGAGCCATAGATACCGAGAGGTGCTACGTATGCTAATTCGGTGTTTTGAATTCCTTGTGCACGGCGAGCGCGTACGAAGTAGATGTGAGAGATGAGGATAGAGATCCAGGTGAGGAGACCGAACATAGTGACGAGATTGACAAAGTAGCCAAAGACGGTGTAGGAAGCTGTATTAACACCCAAAAATGCGAGGAGACAGAAGGCAGTACTAAGTCCAAGAGCATAAATGGGAACTCCACGTCTATCGGTTCGTTTGAAGATTTTGAAAGCTTTTCCCTCGGAGGCAAGACCGAATAGTGTGCGGGAGGCAATGTAGAGATCGGAATTTGCCGCTGAGAAGACGAAGATGAGGATACAGGCGTTGAAGATGGCGGGGAGGAATTGGATGCCGCTGATCTTAATGGCAACTACGAATGGCGATGCAGAGGCACTGTTGCTCTTCGTGTTACTGTCGAGAAGGAGTTTGGAATTGTATGGGACGAGCATGCCGAGGAAGAAGACGAGCACGACGTAGAAGAGGAGAATTCGGTAGAAAGTGAGCTTGATAGCTTTTGGTATCACTTTGCGTGGATTGGCAGCTTCTCCTACTGTTACACCAACGAGTTCTGTACCTAAAAAGGCGAAAACAGCAGTTGTGAAAGTAGACCAGACAGCGAGAAATCGACCAGAGTTTCCAGCTATATGATGTTAGCATTGTATTCCAACTATCTGAGTAAACAAGCTGCTTACTCAAAATGTATTCGTGGAACGCTCCAGGATCGCTCCAGTATTTGAATCCAGTTGCCTGATGATCCGGTCCCCCTCCACACACAAGGACTAAACTCAAGATGATGAGACCTAGGATCACAATAACTTTGATACTTGACAACCAGAATTCGAATTCTCCAAAGAATTTCACACCAAAATAGTTGATACAGACGATGGCAACCAAGAATATAGCAATGAAGACACCGGGATTGACTTTGTCTCTTGGTAGCCAATATTGTATAACTAAAGATGCAGCTGTGAGGTTGTTAGGAGTGACGATGATATATTTGAACCAGTAGTTCCTAAAGCCTGTTAGCATATGCTAGTTGAGTAACGGGAGACCTCAAAATTACCATCCTAAACAGAATCCTAGGGCGGGATCAACAAATCTGGTAGCGTAACCGGTAAATCCACTTGCCAAAGGCAACCAAGCAGCCATCTTTCATATTGTCAGCACTGGTTCATTTCAAGAGGCTTTTCACCAAAAACTTACCTCACCGAGAGCTGCCATGACCAAGAAGCATAATATTCCAACAGTCGAATAGCCTATCAAGAGTGGCGCTGGACCTGCCTGAGCAAGGGCTTTTCCCCTGCAACATTGTGTCAGCAACGCCTCGCGCAAGACTCATCATGCAAGGAAGTAATGACAAATTTTTGAAAAGAAAGCAAATACATACGTTCCGATAATTAATCCAGTTCCAATAGCACCACCGATTGCTATCATAGTAATTTGTCGAGACTTCAGACCACGATGAAGATTGTGATTTGGATCATTATCTTCACCGACATCTTGAATGCCTGCTCGTTCGTGCTCGATGGGATAACTAGATTTCTCTGCACTCGAGGGCGAGTAATCTCGTGAAACGTGTGCCGCCATCTTTGGAAATATCTGTTGAATTCAAAATCCTTTCGCAAGGAAGACAGACAGATGCCAAAGTCTGGAAAGAAGAGGTGGGGGAAAGGGGGAGAGTAGAAGGATGATGTGCAGAAGAATCCAAAGGGAAAATCAACAAATGGGTGGGAGATCTCAACTATCTATATGACAACATCGGATATGCACTAGGAGGCTCCTGGTAGAATCAATAACGTCTAGACTTACCGTACGATAGTCGACCTAAAGCTTTTTAGTACGCACTAGGTATAATAAATGATCATCCCGATCGATTATTTATTCACTGATAGAACTAAGACCACTCGAAAATTGATAATAAATCATAATAATCAAGATTACGGTCCCGCCAAGTCCCCTCCAAGATCCCATTCTCAAAGTTCCATAGAAGCAAAGTGGATTCGGGCAACCTCGCATGTTCGCGGTTCACCAAGAAAGACTCCACCCCGATCACACTTTGCAAGGATACCGTATGGGGTAAAACCGGGCCTTTTTATCTCCTTTTACTCGTTTTTATTGATATCAACATATCAACGTTGTAGCACGCAACAAGCGTCTGGGCGCCCAGAACTGTTATCGTGCAACGCGTGAGCTCGGTGGAACTGATCCCATACCGTGGAGGTTAAAATTGGAGCCAAGATGTTACTAAGGATCCCTTGAGAGATAATGGTTCCCAGGTTATCTTTCCTGTATGACCTTGGCATTGAGGAAGACATGATAAATTGATAGATAGTTGATAAGGCACTTGGCAGCTGAGAGGAAACGGGAGCCGACACCATACATACTAGGTAACGAGGTAACATACTAATAATATGTAAGGAAGGATAAAAAGAGCGACAAGGCTTTTTAGCTTTTTTTTTCAATCTTCTCTCTCTTTCTCTCTCTTCCACTGGTTCCAATTGTTCAGATGATTGTGCAAAATATGATTGGACATTTTCCGAACTAATAGACCTCGGAAGTTTGTCAAGTACGGAGGAAGCCGCGATTTGGATCCCAGACTCGCCAGGCTGATGTTTAGGTGATTGCGGGGAAATTTATTACGTAACAAAGTCGCCCTAGAATCCAGGGCTCAAACGGGACGGGGGATAGCCATCTTCCTGCGGTACCTGACTGGTTTCCAAGTACATAATTTTTGCTGGGCAACTGATATGTATCCAGTTAGATGTCCCATTTACACTTTCCAAATTGTCAAGTGATTTACAATTTTCAAGTTTTCAAGGTTGATATAAGGATTCCAAAACCGGAAGCCATGCTACATAAGTACCAACTAATACGTAACTCTGGGGTAATTAGCGTTTGTTTTGATTCGATTTCTTTTTAAATCTACAATCCCATCACCTCTTTGCATTTGCTAATAAGTTCAATGCGCTTCCTGCCAAAACAAATCCAGCTTGATCAGGACTGAAAGTATGCTTAGTCTTAAGAATAATTTCCTCTCCCGACCCGTGCTTCTTGACCCGCAGACTGACTTCACCCTTTCCGCCATTCTTCAACATCTCGTATAGCCCGATCGTACTAACCTCATCAAGTGCGTCGATCTTGCCATAATCCTCTCCGTCAGCGAAGGTAAGAGGTACAACACCTTGCTTCTTCAAGTTTGTTTCATGGATACGTGCAAATGACTTGCAGAGAATGACTCGGCCTCCCAAGTACCGGGGTTGGAGAGCCGCATGTTCACGTGCGGAGCCTTCCCCATAATTGCTTTCTCCGACAACGAGCCATTCTTTACCCTGATCCTTCCACTTTTGAGCAAGTTCTGGGATACCGGAAGTGCTACCATCCACATCATAGGCAACGTTCACTTCACCCGTAGCAGCGTTGATAGCTGTGATGAGTGTGTTGGCCGAGATGTTTGGAAGATGGCCTTTGTATTTAAGCCAGGGACCAGCAGCAGAAATGGTATCAGTAGTACACTTTCCGGTGACCTTGTAGAGAACACGGAGTCCTTCCAAATCGCTTTGTGGGAATGGAGCGAATGGTTCCAGAAGAGCTAGACGATCCGAGGTTGGAGAAACAACAACTTCCGTTTCAGGGGCAGGAGAACCTGACGATGGCAAAAATTCCTTGTTTCCTTCTTCGAACCCTTCTTGAGGAAGTTCAGCACCAGTAGGTGGCTCGAAACGGAATTCTTTGCCAGATGGGGTAATGATGGAATCTGTGAGTGGATTGAAGGAAGTGCTTCCAGCATATGACATGGCTGTAACAATTTCGGGCGAAGCGAGGAAGTTCATGGTGTCTGGGTTACCATCATTTCGGCCTCGGAAGTTTCGGTTGTATGATGTGAAAATTGCGTTTGGTTCACCCTTAGCAACTCCATCGGTTCTGCTCCACATGCCAATACATGGCCTTTATTAAGTTAGCAATTTTATCAAGAAAGGATCATTAGATGAATCATTATATGTGGATTGGCTTGAGAAGTAGGCAAGACACGTGAACAAACGCTCAATGAAATTGAATGGCTAGACAAATTCTATGACGCCCCCAATGCTAGACTCCAGATATAGTTGCTCGTCAATTCAGACTGGAACTTCCAAACTGGCCTATCAAGGAGAGAATTTGAGCAGACTTGAAGATTTCGAGCTATATTAAAACAGTAAAATGCAGGGTAACAAGTCATGAAACGAGAAATAAAATCATTGACTGTGATAAAAGGAAAGCTGATAGAACTTACCCACAAGCATTAGCAAGCACGATACCTCCAGCTTCGGTAAACGTTGATGAAATCTCATCTCGCTCTAAAGTCGCTCTAATTTGTTCACTACCAGGTGTGATGAAAAAATCAGTAGCTGGCTTGAGCCCTGCGGCCGATGCTTGTTTGACCAAATTCTGCGCTCGAGCCATATCTTGATATGAACTGTTTGTGCAGCTACCAATCAAACTTGAGGATACTGTATCTGGCCAGTTGTTTTCTTTAACAGCTTTCGCGAACTGTGATAACGGGGTTGATAGATCGGGTGTGGCTGGCCCGTTAATGTGAGGTTCTAATGTGGATAGATCTATAGTGATAAGTTCGTCGTAGTGAGCACCTTCATCAGCTCTCAGTAAGTTGTGAAGCGAAGGAGTTCCTGCGATAGTTTGGGCTTGTAATGCGATGGAGGAACGGTGAGTTGATTCGAGATATGGTACATGGCGTTTAGAAAATGGAAATAGAGAAGTGGTAGCACCGACCTCGGCGCCCTAGATATCATTAGTGATAACTCATATAGAGAGAGGCAGATATTCGGCGAAGGATAGAACGAACCCTATAAAAGTTGTTAGTCATGACTCATGAAGAAGCGAAGTGAAATGGATGTTCGAAAAGGAAGAGAGAGAGAGAGCATACATATTGCAGATTGTAGCCATTCCGGTGCAGCTCAATGAGTCAACACCAGGTCCATGGTATTCAATGATATATCCAGTTCCACCACGGACAGTTAATCTGCCTGCCAAATGTAAAATGACATCCTTAGGTGATGCCCAACCACTCAATTGTCCTTCGAGTCTGACTCCTAGAATTTTTGGCGCCTTCAATTCCCACGGTGCATCAACCATTGCATCCACAGCATCTGCTCCACCAACACCAATAGCGATAGCTCCCAATCCACCAGCATTTGGGGTGTGACTATCTGTACCAAGCATCATCAAACCAGGTGCCGAATAGTTTTCCAGCACAGTTTGGTGAATGATTCCTGCTCCGGGTGGCCAAAACTCGATACCATATTTCTTCGCCGCAGATTCTAGGAAATCAAAAACTTCTTTGTTACCCTTGATCGACTCTGGAAGGTCGACATCTGCTCCTCTCTGTCCAACAATCATATGGTCGCAATGAATACTGGCTGGGACAGCTGTGGAAGGCAACTTGCAAGTCATGAATTGCAACAGTGCCATCTGTGCGGAAGCATCCTGCATAGCAACTCTATCTGGCTTGAGCTTAAGATTTGCATTTCCTCTGATATTAAGTCCATTGTCGGTATTTGTCAAGAGTGATTCTTCGGGGTTATCGAGATGGGAATATAGGATCTTTTCCGCAAGAGTCAAACTCCTTGAGGACCCCAATACTCTTCGAACCTCATGGAGTCGTTTGAGAAGTTTTGGGTAAGGAGGAGTTCGGGATTCGATGTCAGGTTTGTATGTAGAAGTGCTTGTATTTACAGTTGCCAAAGTTCGTCCGCTTATCGGTCTTAAAATGGATGGGATATTAGTCCTCTATATAACGAGTCAATTGTATGAATTTTTGAGGAAACAAATGTGTATTTACCCTGATAGCGAGACCACTGCTCTTGAGAAGCCCGCACGACCTCATATTTGTGAATCTCATCAATTTTGGGATGGAGATTGGAACTATTCACAATTGCGATATCGCTAACAAGAAATTCTTCCTGACATTCGGAATGTAGCCGATTCGTGGAATTCTAGGATGCTGCTTTGAATGAACTTGATTTTCAAACTGATGGAGACATTGTAGAACTAAAGCGGCTCGAAGGGAGGCTCGAGCACTTTGAAACTTTGTTTTCACCCCACAATCTTTCTTCCTCTGGACTTCACCCAAGTCGGAAGGTTTCCTTCACAATTCTCCTGTTCTTCAAAAGAACACTGTTATAAAAGCTTTACAATGTCAAATTTGTGATCAAAGGCTTTGGTTTCTCAAGATGTACTTGTTCTCTTGAAGACAGATCTGCAAACAATCATTATACTCCTTATGTCAGATATCACAGGGATATTGTCATGACTCCTAAACACATGTGGCATTTTCCATGTAGTTCTCCTGTTTTATGTCACCAATACAGGAAAGAATAAGACAGATGGCAGGACAGATGACAAGATTAATGGCCCGATGCAATTTGTATGCCACCTTTCAAAACTTTCTCTGTGTGTCAACAGCCTTTCAAGTATTGAAGGAACTGAAAATGGAAATTGCGGAGAGTCAATCATGAAGAAGGCAATGGCCATCAAACATGAACCTTTTCCTTTCATGTCATTTGTACGGTTCTAGATTTGAAATATAGGAA